ATCACCTCGCAAGTCTCCCGACCGATTTTTGGACAAGCCAGCGTCGTCCATGGTTGATTTTGTTGTGGTTCCGGTGGGTGTAGCATTTCCAGAGACATCGTCGAGACAGACACTCGGTTCCGCTTGTTCTTGCTGCGCATAAACTGGAGACGTCGAGACAATCAGCGCAAATATGTTAGATGTGGCATCAACGTACAAGGCCATAGCATGAATGCGACCCAAGTTGATGCGAGACGTTCCAAGCTTCGCGCCAAAAACTCCAGGGGATCCGCGTTGTCTGGGGCCTGGCGGGCATCATCTGCGCAGGCACAGATGGCGGCAGAGACGTATCTCTTTCCCCGCTCGAGGCCGAGATCCTCCGTAGTGGCATACATTGCTTTTGATAAGGCCTCTCACCGTGAATTTCTGAGACAAGGCATCGCGCGTCACCCAGGGCGGAGTGTTGTGTTCGCTGTAACGTGGGTCGTTGAGGACCTGAAGGTGGCGTTGGGCGCGAGCATACAGAGCGTCGTCTCTGTCGGATTCGCCTCTACTGTGGAGAATAGTCTTGACGGTGCTTGAAAGAGCAGAAGCCGCGTAGGGGTATACCTCGGTATAGCTTGTGGTGGAGGTCGGAGACGACGCGTCCGAGGAGCCTGATGGCAAGAACGTCAGACCAGGAGACTTTTCACCGTGTGTGTACGGCATTGCCATGCTCACCACAGTCGAGCATAAGATTAGAAATACGAACTAAACGCACAGAGTGCGCAATGACTTAGGTCCGAAAATGAGTCACTTCCAAGCACGGCGTGCGTGGGCGCTTGTTGACGCCATCAACGCTGCCGTCATCCAAGACGTCCTTCGCTGCCCAACACCACATCCACGAGTCTTCTCTGTGCGGTTCTGTCACACTCTTTGCCCGTCTGCTCAGCTGCAATGACCTGTTCGGATGCTGAGGCTTGGTCTGCTCTCCAGTCAGGCTCGGGTGATCCAAGGATTCCATCGCTGCAGCCGTCGTCTGCCTTCGCAGATCTTCACAGAAAGATATCGTTCTGAACTTCAAGCCAACAGAATATCTACGAACCATGGGATGTGTGGATGGTTTGAAGTAGCTCTGGAACGAAGACACGCGAGGTGTTGATGTGTGGTATTTGCGCAGTGATGGTACGCACGTCCTCCTGCATCTCTTGCCGCCAGCCAACCGAGCAGTCTGCTTGAACTCGGACGTGAATTGGCCTTTGAGGTCTTGTCTTTCGCCCCTCGAGATGACATGGGGTTGCCCATTGCTTCGCCCTTAGTGTCGTCGTTCATAGCGGTCATGTCCCGTTGGGTGAAGACAGACTTCGTTTGTGGGAGGATGTGGGGTAAACGGCATCGCTTTCCTCATGAGCGCATATACTACCTGCGTTCCTGTCCGCTGCTCTGCTGTACGCTGTTGGATCAAAGCATGGTGGGCTATTTGCTCCAAGACATCTCTCTCTTCTGCTGGCATCTCTGTTATTGTTTTCTTTGCGGGCCGCTCACGCTGCGCCGCATGTTTTCCTGTAGCCTCCGCCTCGGAGCCAACCTCGCCACATGGATCTGTTGCCACGGACTTCAGCGGCTTTATCCTTACAATGGGCACTCCGGGGCATGCGTTATCCCCGATCTGCGCATCTGATTGTAAATTTCTCCAGATCATATGCAGGACAGATGTCGCTGTGGTGCGACATACTTCATGTTGTTGCATGTGGTACGTGCGTCTGGAGCGCGATGGGTCCATGGCCACTTGAAATGGGAAGATGTCTCGTCTGTCCATCGCCACCGCCCCCCTCAGCGCTCTCGGCTCGCACAATGTCGACGACAGCGCCAAGCTGTAAGTCGAATCCAGTTGGCCTCACCGTCGTCTCGAACAGATTGCGACTATACGAAAGATTCGCTGAATTGCAATGCTACGTACTCGCAGGTCGAAGGAGGTCCGGGGATTGTCAATGTTTCACCGTTCACCAGACGAACCGGACACCACAATATGATGCGGGAGCACCGCTGACCGGAACGCGGTGCAACTCTGTCGATGATTCACAATTCATCAATGTCCCTGACCTCTGCTTTGACGACACATCCTTCGGATTCACACGCAACGCTGGCTGTGGAATCACCTCGGTCCAAGTCCATGACGTACTGCACGACGACTATGCCTTTTACATCGTGTCTCAGATCAAGATTTTCTCCGGCCAGTCTCCAGACTCGGACACCTCGTGAGTTCTGCTTCTACATGAGCCTAGTGGAGTTCATGTTGACCCCCTCCCTAGCGCCTACATCGGCCTTCTGCGAAACTCTTCGAGCATCACCTGGACTTCTTCGGTCACATCAACCTCTCTAGACCGGTCCACGAAGCCCATAACACATGGATGCCTTAGCACGAGACTGGGCTGCTCATCACCGACAACGTTCAACAATCACCTCGGTTGCTTCCACCCTACACCTAGCTATGCTTCACTTGATTCGACACGTCGGACGCGATGAGCGTTATGTTCAACATGTGCCCGATGCTCACAGATAGAAAACCCCCGGGAGCGACGGAGTGCGATGATCTCGCTCGGGCATCGCATTGCCTGTACAGCTCTGAGCCGATGTGGATTAGAAGGGTCAGTCGACCGCCCGCGTGCTTCCCGCTTCTCCGCCCTCTCGGAAGCGTCAAGGATGGCTCCACCGCCACGAGAGTCGGTCCGCGTGAGCGGTAGAGGGGCTCAACTACCTTCCATCTGCCCAGCCACACATTCATTCGCGTCCTGTTTCGCAGCGAGCTTGAGAACGCTCAGGTGGTGGCGCCTACATCTGTCAAGAGACGACATTCTGCCGTTATTGCATCCGCCAGGGGAAGTATAAAGGTTCGAGGCAGTTGCACTAGGGTGCTCCTCACTGCAGTTGCAATCGTGCATACCATCAGTACTCTGACATTACATTCGCCACTTGACTCTATCACGTCCATCACCAAAGCTACAGGCAAGATGCGCTTTTCCGCCGCTCTCCTTGGTGTCCTGGCCCTTCCCGCCCTCGTCTGTGCAGCCGCCACGGCTTCGCCCGCCAACTTCGCCGGGTCCAACCTGTATTACGCCGCGGGTCTGAGCTCGTCGCAACGCGCCACCCTCTTGAAGTGAGCCCTCCAAGTCTCTCAGGTGTGACGCGCAGGGTAAGACGGAAGCTGACATGCACTTTCCGTATTTTGCAGAGGTCTGCAGAGCGCGAACATGAAGGTTCTACGCGTCTGGATCGGTGCTCAGAGCGGCAGCCAGAAGGTCAGTCTCTGGTTCTCTCTTGCGCACATCGCACGCGCTAACCAAACATCTCGCCTTCCTCCCTCATGCCCGCGTGCAGGGCACTTCGATCCCGGCTTTCCCTGACGTGGAGCCGAGCACGGTCTGCAATGGGGACACGTCGTGCTACAACCCGCAGATTCTCAACATGCTCGACGACTTGATGGTCGATGCGAAATCCTACGGCGTGAAGCTGCTCATCACGATGCACTCGTTCAACGCGCTGGAAGCGAACGACGTCTACGGGCAGCGGTGGGGCACCGGATACTTCTACGAGCAAGCGGACGCGCAGGCGGCGTTCGACAAACGTTGTTTTGGACAATGATTATTGTCCAGGGTCTATGACAGCGTAAGTCGTGCCACCCCCTCGCCGCTTTACATCTGCTTTGTCTCTAGTAGTATATAGGTTAAGGGCTCGCAGCCCAGGATCCTCGTCCCCTCGCCCTTCGGGAGCTCGCGCTCCTCGAGCTTTCGTTTTTTGCCCGCTGGTTGGTGCACACCACGTCGTTCACGGTGTTGCCCAATGGGGACCACCAGCTCCTTTCTTCGGCGATCCGCTCGCCACCCCTCCGGGCATCCGTGCCCTCGCCACTCGCCACTCCTCCGGGCAGCTCGCTGCGCCCTCTCGTCGTTCCGCCTGCCCTCCGGGGCCTCTTACGCGGTGATCCGCTCACTGCTTCCTCCCCAACCCGGCCCCCCGCCTGGCCGCATCATGCTCACTCCATCCCTTCTCCTCGGGCCGGCCCGCCCTCCCTCGATGAATCCGCTCGCCATCACTCCTCCTTGGGCCCGGCCCGTGCCGGCCCCGTTGGTGCATCACTTCCCTTTGGCCGATCCTCACGCTCA